GCTGGCGGCTGTTAGGTAGCTGATGATGTCGGCCAGCTGCAGGCAGATCCTGCCTGTGTAGCAGAAGGAGAGGAGCTGCTCGAAGACAGAAGGGTTCTTGATGACAGAGATGGACACAGTGCTCATCTCGTTGAGGGACATGTGGTCGCGGAAGTAGGGCGAGCTGGCCGCCAGCACCACCTTGTGCGCGCGGAATGCCTGGCCCTGCACGTTGACCACGATGTCGCACAGTCGGCCCTGCATGCGCAGCTGGTTCAGGTGGCTCAGGACAGAGTTACTGAAGTCAGGAATCTCCAGCTGAATGTTCCCGCTCTTCTCCATGGCTGTCCCCGTTGCAGGTGCACGACTGCGCTGGAAAAGGGGGAAGAGACACCGTCATTAGCAGAGCCAGCCTGTCATTTGCATTTAAAACCTTTTTTACCTGCTTCCACATGGGATTTTTAGAGACCTTTCTCCCCACTGAATTGCCCCACACCTGGCAGGGCTCTGTGCTCTCTACGTGCTGTGCAAACCACCCTGTACCAGCGTTCTGCTAAACCAGCCCCTCAGAGACCCCCAGTCCCTACTGGCGCTTCGGCGCCCGAAGAACTTCGCTCTGTCAGCCTCAATTAAAGCACACCTGCATTGTAAAAAGAACATAAAAAATGGTTCAGGTACTAAAAATAGGCAGCTGATTGCATAATGGATTAAAATACTCAGCACTTGTACCTTCTAAGCACTTTGAAAAGGGAAAGTAATATTGTTATGCCTCCTTCGTACAACAGGAATCAGGAAGGAGACACCTGGACCTAAATCCTCCTGAGACTTCCGAAAAGCTGGCCAGCATATATCTGACCTTGAGACATCTTAAGGGCGTCATTAATCCCAAGATATCCATCATATGTGACACTTCTGACACATGTCAGAAAATATATAACGGGAGGGTGAAAGAAAAAGGTGTGGCCCAGGAGAGTCAAAGGGCCTCACTCAGGACCACTGTTTGTAGGGTCACAAGGCCACTGACTTTGGTCATCACCAATTTCCCCTCCTGGCCATATCCCAAGTCCGTAAGTCCTGGGCTCTTTCCCGCAGCACAGTAACAATGGGACTGTTCCACTCGGGCTGCAATCCCCAGCGGTGCCGTTCCGCCCGACGGCGATCCAGGTCAATGGTTTACCGAGGCTCCGAAGAATAACGGCTCATCCTTTGTTCCCCACCTTGGCTGGGATGTTCCTGGTTGTTCCCACCTGTACCACCCAGCAGCTCCTGGCAGGATCAGGGAGCACCTCCCGGCCCAGCTGGTGCAGTCAGGGGACACTTCACCGCTCAGCGGGTCCGTCAAGGCTTATCAGGAGCTTCCAAGGTGTTTCCAGCAGGGCCAAGAGATGGGGGGATGCACCACCACATCATCACACTGCATTTTGGCAGTTTGAAAAGGAGTCCTGACCATATATGGTAAAAATTTGGAATGATCCAAAATTAGATGTAAACTCACCCCGCCAAAAAAAGAAAGTAAATAAGCTTGTTAAAGCCCATTCATGGCGTGAGCAGCTTCCAAGCTGGATGGCACCTGAAGTGAGGATTGAGCAGAGTGCTGCAGGTATAAATACCACTTCAGGCAGGCTGAGAATACTGAGGCTGATAGTGCCTACTCCAAGGAATCCCAGAATTAAGGCTTCTTCTCACTTTCTCCTGTCACAGAATCATGGAATGCTTTGGGTGGGAAGAGACCTTAATGACCATCTCATCCCACCCCCTGCCATGGGTGGGACACCTTCCACTAGCCCAGGTTGCTCCAAGCCCCATCCAACCTGGCCTTGGCACTTCCACAGCCTCCCTGGGCAACCTGTGCCAGAGCCTCACCAATTCTTCCCAATATCCCATCTAACCCTGCCCTCTGTCAGTGGGAAGCCATTCCCCCTTGTTCTGTCACTCAGGTCCTTGCAAACAGTCCCTCTCCATTTTTCCTGTTAGTTCCCTTCAGGCCCTGAAGGCCACAATCAGGTCACGTCAGAGCCTTCTTTCTTCCAGGCTGAACAATCCCAACTCTCCCAGCCTTTCTTCCCAGCAGAGCTGCTCCAGCCCTCTGATCACCTTGGTGTCCCTCCTCTGGACTCACTCCAACAGGTTGATGTTCTTCCCTATCTTTAGGAGATAAAACCCCCTCAAACCCAAGGAGCTACAGTGCACAATTCCACAGTGCTGGAAGCAGCACTTCAAACACACAAAGCCAGGGGAAACAGGAACCCCAGTGTCTTACCTGGAGCGCTGTGAGTTACATGCAGGGGGGGAGGAACTGGGGGTACTGCCTTCTTGTTCTCCTTTTTCCTTCTGATGTAGTGAGAAGGTTTGGAAGCTTGTTGCCCCCTTCCCCTTGAGAGGGTAAAAAAGAAAGGAAAAATGAAGCACAGAGGAATTGTGTGCTCTTGAGCATGGCCATGGATGTCAGGCTTTGTCATTCCTGGTTTGCCACCTTCCCAAAACACCTGTTCCTAAAGCAATAAGCCCCAGAGCATTCCCTTGAGGCAGGGAAGCAAAGGCAATGGTGAAACAATCCACAAGCACCCAGGGAGACGAGGCAGTGGCAGAGGCTGAGCTCAGGAGGTACAGGAACGGAAGGGTAAAAACAGCAATCAGACCTCAACTGGCTGGGTATGGCCCTGCTCTGAGGGCAGCTGCTCCCAGGGGAGCCCAAAAAATTATCTGTGAGCTCCTGCTCCAAAAGTAGGGAAAATCCATCAGCCCTTTATGGCAGGAGGAAAAGACCTCTGGAGCTTTGCCCAACTCAGAATGGGGAAACCTGCATTTCATGAGGCACTTTATGTTTTATACACTTTGGGGAACACCCTCAGAGGCTGGAGAGGGGGAATCTGTGGGCTTGGTTCAAACTCCCCTGTCAGGGCGATTTCTGTGCCCCCAGGTAGGGGGTCTCTCATCAGCTTCCGCACCTCAGCAATAACATCCCAATTTCTGTCTTCCCTGGGAAGTCCATCACCTGCACACACCTTTCCCTCAGGGCTGAGCATCAGCACAGGGCACACATTGGGACACTCAGCAGCTTTCAATGCAATCTGAAGTGTCACCAGCTTGGACTTGGCCTTTACTGATCTCAGCAAATGCCTTTCCCTGTGTGAGGCAGCTCCTGAGAACAGAAATTCTCACTTCATCAGGGAAAAGGCAGAGGCAGATCCCCCACAGCAGGTGGTGATCACTGTGAATGGCCCTTGTCAGACACTCGCCCTGGGGGCTGCATAGAGGGACTGAAAACTCATCTTTTGGGCTCAGATCTACCACGACTGGGCAACTTCACAGAATTTGGAATGGATCCACAAGGACTATCGAGTCCAACTCCTGGCCCTGCACAGACACCCCAACAATCTCCCCCTGTCCCTCAGAGCATTGTCCAAACCCTCCTGGAGCTCTGGCAGCCTTGGGGCTGTGCCCACTGCCCTGGGGAGCCTGGTCAGTGCCAACCACCCTCTAGGGGAAGAACTTTTTCCCCAGATCCAACCTAAACCTCCCCTGAACAGCTCCAGCCAATTCCCTCGGCGTCCCTTGTCCACTGCTACCAGAAACAACTTTAGAAATCAGATGGTTTTGGGTTGGAAGGGACTTAAAAGGCCCACCCAGTGCCACCCCCTGCATGGGCAGGGGACACCTTCCACCAGCCCAGGTTGCTCCCAAGTCCCGTCCAACCTGGCCTTGATCCAGCTTGCAGGGATGGGGCAGCCAACAGCTTCTCTGGCAACCTGTTGCCAGGGCCTCCCCCACCGCCTCAACAGGGAGGAATTCCTTCCAAATAATCCCAAACCCAACGCGAACTCGGCTCCTCCCCAGATTACCAGCGGGACTTCTCCTCGACTCCCCCCGTCCGGCCCGACCCCCGGCGGTGCCCCCCCCGGCGCTGCAGGGCTCTCGGTGCCGCTGTCCCGCCGGGCGCTCCCCCTCGGCCCGCCATGGCCGGACAGCGGCACCCGGACCCCGAGGCAAGTGGCCAACACCCGGCCCGCCCTGGCGCTCCCGCCCCGCCAGCGCTGAGGGCGGCGGCCGCGCCCCGGCCCGCCCGTCCCCCCGCGCCCCCCCGGGCCGTCCTGGGGCCGTCCCGGAGCTCTCCTCGGGGGCCGTCTCCGCCCGCCCCGCCCCGGACCGGGCTCACCTGCCGGGGGTGGGAAGGGCCCGCAGCGCGGCCGCGGAACGCGAAACGCGCCCTGCGCGGCGCGCGCCACGGAAGGAAACGCCGTGCGGACCGTGCGCCCGCGCACCGCCCCCGCCCGCCGAGTGCGCCGAGAGGGGGTGGGGCCGCGCAAAGTCACGTGATTGCCAACCCTATATAAAGGCCGCGCAGGAGGCTCGCGGTCTCTTTGTTCCTGAGGCGCGGAGGGGTGCGAGGGCTTTGTGCGGCCCCCGCGGTGAGTGCGCGCTTGTTCTACCCCCGGGGTGGGCCGGCGGGGCGCTGCGGGGACCCTCGGGGTGCGGTGGGGTCCCCGATGAGCGCTGTAGCGGGAGGATGGGGGTGGATTGCGCCGCCGGGCCTAGGCCGCTGGTACTGTGCCTCGTGGCGACCTCGGCGCTGTGAGAGCGGGGTCCCATGGGGGCCCCCACGGGTTTGGGGGTATCAGCTTGCAGGTGCAGGGTAATACACGAGGCGCTGAGTTGTGGGGTCTTACCCAGGAGCCCTTTTCCCGTGGGAAACGCGCCTGGCATGTGGCAGTGTGGGATGGGCCCGATGCAAATGTAAGCATTACGGATCCCTGGGTTTTGTGGGTTGGTGCCTTTTTTCACTGTGCGCTGGGCTTTAAAGGTGGTTGCTTTGGCGGATAAATGTGTAAAATGCGATTGTAGCGTTGTGGAAGGGTTAAGGATTTCTTCCGCTACTGAAATGTGCACACGATGCCTTAAAGGATTAAGGGTTGGCCTCGCGGCCCCAAGGCTGCCAGAGCTCCAGGAGCGTTTGGACAACGCTCTCAGGGACAGGGGGAGATTGTTGGGGTGTTAGTGCAGGGACAGGGGTTGGACTGATCCTGGTGGGCCCCTTCTAACTCAGCATATCCTGTGATTGTGGACGTTTAAAGAGCAGTGGCTCACTCGGACTCCCTTATGCCCGCACATGATGAGAACTGCGTTGGTAGGGACATCTGAGAGGGTGATTGATGAATGCCAACGGATCTGAGCTGGGCACGGGACACTTGTGGGCTGTCTGGGATAGCTGAGGTGCCACGTGGGCCTTTCTGAGCAGCCAAAGGTCACGGGGCTGATCCGGTGAGCGAACAGCAGAATTTAAGCTGTAGAAAGTAAAGTACTTCAGTGGTTCTGTTCTGCGTAAAAATACAGGCAGTAGTTATTTCTTGTGTCCTTGTTTGATCAAAGAGCAGAAATTTAGATTGTGTCGAGGGGCACTTTAAGGCTCAGAGTGTTTTGTATTTTACTTTGCATCTCTCAAAGAGGTATCTGTAAAAATAACATTCTTTAAAGAAGAAAAGCTAATATGTCTTCTTGTTTTCTGTTTAAGATGCATCAGCTATACTATTCCTTCTTGTGGCTTCAAAACAGGTAAGTTTTGCTTCTAAAATAGAGAGTTTAAATGAAAAAATATGTGGATTCATGTACAGCAATTAGACTGGAGTACTCTTGCATCAGGGAGTTACAGGATCAGCACTGGTGGTGGTGTCTCCTCAAGCACTCCTTATTTGCTTACTGAGAAAAGTCACCCCTTTCTTTGTCCTAGGAAAGGATTTGGGAGGCTCCTGTTGTTTCTAAACAGCTGGTCATCCTGTAACCAGACCACAAGAGTACCCCAGATCCCTTTTTTCCTGCATTACTGCTGCTTCGTTATTCACAGCAATAAATAACTTGGAACACATTGCAGAAAAAGTGTAACTGAGGAGATTGCTGTTGACTGGACTACAGAGCCTGTGATGGTTTCAGTATAAAGAGTAGTGGACAGAAGTGATTTCTGAAAACTCTGTGCTGAGGCTTTTTTCTGTGCTTGGTGTGGCTGCCAGAGGGGCTCCCAGTTCTACAAACTCCTGAAGCTGTTCTTTCTCTTCCAGATCTGCCACCAAATGCACAGCCTTGATGCCACTTCACAAGGTAATACATAATTAATGAAAACTCAGCATGAAATTATGCTTAGGGTTTGTCTGGGCAGTGTCTTTTGCTCTGATAACACGTCAGTGGTCAGACAATTCCCTGAGCCAGGTTTTCCCTCTGGTGCCACAATGATGACACTTATTTGCTACTCTTGACCAAGAGAGTGATGAGCACTTTTACCACCATTACAGTTTTCTGAGGCACAGCAACTTAGTTCCCCTCAATGCTTTGAGTACTGAATATCCTATTCACAAGCTTTTTTTTCCTCCAGGATTTGACTCCTGCACTCAGCAGACATGCAGAAGGAACATCACCTGGTGAGAAATGCGTGCTTTATGGTGGGGTTTCTTCCATGGTAAAACACTGCAGCGGGAAGGATGGGATGTGCTTTAAAATTAGTTTCCACTAAGACCAGAAGCAATTTATACTTGCTAGTATTCAAATTTGTGAATGTTTCTTTGTTTTATTGGGAAAACTTAATTGTAAAAGCTGTGACAAGAGGTGATTGCTTGGTAGGATGATTCCAAAGCAGATACAGTGATGATGGCATAGTTCAGCAGAGCATCCTGTGGTGAACACTTCTGTCTTTCGCTCCTATCTGATGTGTCTGCCTTTTGTGATCTCATCAGGAGCTCTGGGCTTGGACACCAAGGCTGAAATAACGTCTTTTTTTTTTTTTCATTTGTTGCAGGCACTGGGAGATAAAACTCTAACCTGTGCAAGGTAAACATTGCATTGCCTATGTCTGTCCAAACTCATTTGTGTCCCTGCTGTGTGAGGGGCTGCTGTGATGACAGCATAGTTCAGCAGATGAGCCGTGATGATCACACTGTCACTGTCTTTCGCTCCTGTCTGATGCAGCCTCCTGTCCTTAGGCTGTTCCAGTCAAATCATGTGGAAAGCTGAGAGGGAAACACTTCCTTTTGATCAGTAAATGTGTTCTGAAAATTAGTCCCAGAAAATCAGCGAATGGGATAAACATAAAGTTTAGTGGGATGAATAGAAGGGAATAGAGTAGGCTGTGCTTGTAAATTAAACACAAGTACAGCAGAATAAGGTTAATCAGGTGTTAGTGCTCCAACTTCTGAAAGGGTTTTGTTGCTTTACAGATTGCCCTGGACAGAGGAGACCTGTGCCTCTTGTGTGAGAAGCTATTTCATCTGTTACTGATGTTGGTGAAGCCAAGGCCTTCCTAATTGCAGGTAATTATTAAACCATTTTTAGGGTTTATTGGACTTTTGTCTGCTGCATTTGAGCTTGGATGTTTGCTTTTGGAGATGTCTGCAAATTCCTTGTGTTTTCTCTGGAAAGTGTGAAGCAAAGTGTGCTTTCAGCTTCCTGTGTTACATTAGAAAGCAGGAAGTAATTGTGGTGGTAAAGATTTCTGGAAAGTGCTTGTTAAACCTGAGCGGTGAATGCCATAGTACTCTGAATTTAGTGCCCAAAATGGTTATCCTGGCTTAGCATGGCTGGGGTATTTACACAAAGTTGATGTCACTGAACTCTGCACTTCAGAAGTTTGCTCCTTCCTGCAATTTCAGTTGTCTCTGGAGCTAAAGGAAAAAATTACTGGGGTGTTGGAGCTTGCTGGGAGCTGACTTTTCCTCTGGGAGGGGATGGAGGTGAGGTGGCCTCTACTGTAGATGATGTTGAATCAGGTCTCTGATCCTTATGAGGACAAAACTTGACCAAATGCTGATACAGTATTTTATTGGAACTATTCTTATGCTAAAACTTCCTGCTGGACCTTGTCTAATAGGAAATTTTTCTCTACAGGCTTCCAAAATGTTTCTCCTTGCAAGGTGGGTATTTGATTAACTCTGCAAGTATCAATATTCCAAAATATGCCCAGAAGTGAAGTATTTACCTTCTTGTTACCTGGGGGGAAGAGGCCAGTGGCTGGTGTTGTCTGCTGCTTGCCATCTCAGCCAAAACAGGAGGATGTTTAAAGGGGGAACTGCCTGCCTGGATAAGGCCCAGCCTTGGTAGGCTGGTGTGAGCTTCCAGTGAAGAGCTGAGCACAGAGAGTGGTCTTGATGGCACTGCTGGTGGATTTGCAGCCTTGGCCTAGAGCAGGGACTGACAGAGCTGCCTGTGTGATGAGATGTGACTGCCCTGACTCCAGTTGTGGAGGTCTGCCATTAGCTCTATCTGACTGCAGGCACCTGACTGAGATTCCACCCTCCTCTGCTGCTTTCCGTGCTGTCCTGATAGTTTGCATTATTCCAGGTGCAGTGGAGCTGGGAAGTGGGGCAGTTGGGAGTGCTGCCAGCAAAAGGTAAGTCGCCAGCACATGGAGTGGAACTGCTCAGAACTGTGTGATACAGGGGATGGGGAAGTTTCTAGATCCTATAATTGCAGCTGCAGCACCAAGCAGAAGGTTTCTGGAGAATTTTATTACCTTTACCAGGTAAAAACGCCACATATTGGCAGCAGCCTGCAGGGTTCACTCACCCAAGGTGCTGCATATCTCATATTTTAAAACTTTTAAGTGTATTCTGTAACTGAGAAGAAGTAATAGGGACCATTTGGAATGTCCAACTGCTATGGGCTCCTTGAGTTCCTCGTTAATGAGTGTGTGGTAACCTGGTAGCACAGAGCTTGTGCTCACCAAAGCCAGTAGTTAATTAAGTAGTGGGCTCTTGCAGGGAGTAGCATTAATCTTCAGGGCTTACTGTGGTGAATTATTTTTCTTAAATGCTAGAACAGGGCTTTTGCATGATGTGAATGAAGATGTGGTTGGGGATAAGGTCTGAAATGCTGAGATCAGATCCTCTGAGACAAAAGTGGCACAACATCAAGCTACTCTAAGCATGTACTGTTGGTGATGAATTCTAAGCAATGGGAATCTCTCTGAAAGAGTCTGAGGACAACTCTTGTGCTGAAACAGTACCCACAGTCAAACTAAATCCTGAAGCACTGCCAAGGAGAGAGTGTTAGTAAAATTTCACTTCTTTACAGGGTGAATCTCGTGGGGAGTTCCTGTGAGAAACAAGGTGGATGTGCCTGAGGAAAGTGTAGAGTACATGGGGGTTTGTAATTCTTGGAATACTGTCTTTGTGCTGAATGCCTAGGTAGTGGTACCTAAAAGGTGTCCTGTAAGAGATCTGATTTGTCTTCCCTTTATTGTATTCTGATTCTCCTGCTCCCATCTACTGTGGGAATTAACATGTGCATGAAGCAAGAATGCACTTCTGTGTAGTTCTGAATTTGCCATGAAAAGGAAGGGCTGTTTCTGAGCAAGTACCCAAGTGTAGTCAGTGGTAAACTTGGTGTGGAGTTCTGACTGAACAGAAGATGTGGCCTCAATGACTCTAAAAATTGGGAGTTTATTGCAACGTTGCACTGTGTAATGAAAAGAAAAACAACCCTATATTCTCTAGTTGTCACTTCTCAGCAATTTTTGCTGATCTTTATGCTGGCTCTACACAAATTTAGACTCAAGTTCTAAATATTTGCTGTATGATCTTGTTTCCCAACAGACTGGTTCTCATTTTTAAAGATAGGTTCTTGGGATGATTTCTATGAGACTTGTAATTTGGGTATCTAAACTCATTAAATACAATTTTCCAGGGGGGAGAGACAGCATCACAAAGCAAGTAGTAGCTTTGTACTTACCCTGTTTCTTCCAATGTTTGTAATTCTGTATTTCCAATTCAGTTAGGATTTGTAAGCTTTGTGTCTCCTATATTTGGGTGTTGCAAGTTAACCTTGTGAGTTGCCAGCTGAAAGGCAGCCTTCCCCCAGGTAAAATTAGTTTGGTGAATAGGAATTCATAGATAAACAAACTTGCATATAGTGCTGCTGTCTTGTTATTCTGAAAGTACCTCTCTCTTCTCAGGAAAGGACTGTGCTGTTTGCAGCCTCACTGGGTAAGTCCAACAGCTGAACTGTATTACATGTTATTGGGAATGTTTGTAGCCACTGATGAGATTGATTCTGCCAGATGAATTAGTGTGATTTTACCCTTTCCGTTCCACTTTGTGCTGAGGTTACAGAGCTGATGTGGAACCTGTACCACTTGTGCTACTGCATGTGCTAATTGTGTTTTCTTCTGGCTTTAGGTGAGGAAGCAACTTTGCAATTACTGTATGAAGAACTGAGAAGGTGAGTGTAACTACAGTAATTAAGACATTTCTTTGCTGGAACAAGTGATGATAACCTTAGCTTGAACTCTCTCACTGAACAGAGATGAAATTCTAAGGGCTGAGATGTTCCCAGCAAGTGTCCTTGTGGTGGTTTGGTGTCTTAATGTGGTTCTTATGTCTATCTTACTAGGTGGAGGATTGCAGTATAATGGGCTACACTTGCATGAACAGCATTAAAAAGCCCAAGTGTTTTTTACCCCACTGGTAATGTTTACCTGACGCTGGTTGGAGCCAATAAAAATCTGCAAACTCTGCCTGTTGTTGTGACCTCTTTTCCGACTGGAACAGCTTGGTGTGAAACAGCTCTAGCCTACAGTATAAAAGCTTCAAATGCTTGATTTAGAGCAGGGACTAAATTAGGTGAAATGCTTGCAAGTGTACTGGGGTGTCCAGTACTGCTGGTGTGCAGGCTGCAGCTGGCCTGGCCAATACCAACATTTAGACAAAGGCAAACAATTAAAGGGGTAATTAGTGTGTTGTAGGTGAGAGCTAAACTTACTACTACTTTATTTAATACTAAAATGCCCCCAGTAATCCTGGTATTATGTGTCCAGGTGTGCACAGAACAAGCACACTGCTTGGACTTGTTAACCCTTTTCCACTGGTATTGAGCAAGACAGGATTTGGCCTCCATGAGGGGAAAAAAGTGAAGAGGTGGGGGATTGTGATACTACCAATTAAAAAACCAAGTTATTAATTATGAAGCAGGAAAGCCTGCTAAGGTGTTTCTGCTTCCCGAAACTCATTAATGATAGATTTCTATAAAAAATTCATTATAAATTCCTCTGTCTCAGGGTTGATGTCAGTATTGGAAAAGTCAGCTCTATGGAGAACTGAATTCTCCATGACACTTGAGCTGTTGCTGTAGCACTTCTAATGAGAAGTAAAACTAGACATCCAAACTTTGGGAAGGATTAGTTTCAGATTATTGGTGTTCCCTAGAACCCCTCAATTAAGAGTAAGCTTGTACTATCTCCCTCCTACTCTACCTGGTACAATCTACTTGAATTTAAATTACATTTTGTAGACAGAGCTTGAGATCATTTTAGCCACAATAGTATTTCATCCTAGAGAAGATGAATTAGACATTCTGTGTCCATGTGCAAATTAAATCTCTTCTGCACTAAAGCAAAAGCCATTAATAAGGTCTGTTTTCATCCAGAGCTGATTAGTAGCCTCTTAACATTCCCCCCACCATGTTACTTTTTAAAATACCACACTTCATTGTGCCTGTTGAAGAGCTTGAAGGGACTGTCATAGCCTGCAGTATAGAAGAAGTCTTCATGGAATGGTTGGCCTCTGTTTCTTAAGGTTCTGGCCAAGACTTCAGCTTCCTCAGCATATTTCTCTGGGGAGGCAAAGCCACCAAAGGACCTGGTAGAAGTGAAAAAGGGTTTTTTTTTAATTAAGAATTCAAGCCCCTGGTTTTAATTTGCACAGAAGGAGATTTCAGGTTTGCAAAGCATACAGTGTTTAAACACTTGTGATGCAATTACTAGTTAAATAAGGAGAACAAGCTGCTTAAGAGCATATGGCTGTTTATCCTGGTTTTAAAAGCAGGACTTGAAACAGCTAACCACCCAAGTTGATTCTGAGAGTTGGTTGACATACAGCCCAGGTGTTGCTTTGGGTGTATTTCCTGTAATAAAGAACTGCCATGCAGTGTGGGAGTTTGGGGCTATACCGTAAGGGTGCTAGAAGAGTGGTTTGGATGTTTTGTAGCACAAACTCTAAGATTCTGGAGGCTGCTCCTGCATAAAACCCACTGTAATATATTCAAGAGTAGACTCAAAAAGTAACATTTTGAAACTTGGTCATTTCAGTCTTAATAAGACACGTGAATGTAATATTTCCAAATGCTTGGGTTTGAGCAGTGAAAGCTCTGGACAGCAGGACATATACCCAAGTAAAAATCCTCCAAGAAAGAGTAGCCCACAGCTCAGTGAGGGCACCCAGTGAGCTGGGTTTGTGTGCTGCCAGTGGTGTTGGTTGTGCTCACCGGACAAAGATAGCCGCTGCCTTCCGCTCCTCCACGAACACATCGGAGTCCAGGGGCTGGGGGGGGGAGTCCTGGTGTTCAAAGGGCACAAAAAACGAGATCTTGAAGTCTGTGCAGCCAGATTTCACCAGGCAGGTCACTGGCACAGTCATGTCAATCTTCATTTCTGGAGGAGAGGAAAAGACAGTTGTCAAAGCCACGTTCTCCAGCTCCTCTGTTTTGTACTACTCATCTTCACCTTGCCTTTCAGACCCAGCAGATCCTACCTCTCTCATTCTTTCCCTGAATGTAGTGGAAGAGCTTCCAGAAGCCCTGGCGCATGGCTTCCTTCTGGCTTTCCCCCCTGATGACTGTGCTCACCCACTTGGCCGTCTCATACTGACGCAGTTCATAGTCCTTGGCCTGCAAGGGAGCAAAAGTCACAGCAACCAAGAGATGGGTATTAAAGATGACCAAAATTAATAGCTACTGTTTCCAAATCAGCGTGAAAGCATTGTTGCACTTACCATTGTCTCTGTTGAGCTCCACCGAGGGGACTGCAGGTCCAGGGACAGGAATGTTTGCTTGAAGGATTTGATCATCTTGCCAGAGCTGAAAGGCAGACAGTTCATTGGTGTCTCTTAAATCTGGTATTAATGAGCAGAAAAAGCACTAGGGCTTTCTGCCAAATGGTTCAGTTGTCCTTGAAATGGTGAGAGGCCTGAATTCCTGCTTATCCTCCCCACTGATTCAACAAAAAAGAGCTGAAATCATTTCAGTCCTCAGGAACAGAACCAAGACCAAGGAACTGCCTCTCGGCTGCTGTGGGAGTGTTCATCTCTCAGGTTACCCTGACTTCACTTCTCTATGACAAAAAGGCATGTCCTGGCAGCAAAACAGAAGGTGGAAATTCTGCAAGTGGGAGTTTTGTGGAAATCTGTAAGTAAAAAGGACTTGAGGATTTCAGTCTGTTAGCTCCAGGATGAAAAACACTGGTGGGTGCTCTGGTATTGACTTATTGGGCCTCTCATAATGACTTTGCCTAAACTTCAAAGTTAACTTGGCCTTAACTTTATTTGGTGTCTCATAATAGCTGATACATATCCTAAAAGCCTTTAGCCTCAGGGCCCTGCGGATAAATGAGATTTTCTGCATTTAGGAATGAATACTTTCTTTCCTTCGCACAGGAGGAAAAAGCTGAAAATTTGAAGACACTGTCCCAAAACAAAGCAAGTGAAAATACTCAAAATCACCATTGAAATAATCACATCTGATTAAAAGCCTTGAGATTTTAGGAGCCTTCATTTATTACTTCTGTCATTACCAGGCAGATTGTAGCATGTAACCTATATCCTGACAGTCTTAGCTTTCCTGTTATATCACTGTCCTTTGCACTTCATGTTGCAAAGACAGCATGTAGTTAATTCAGCAATTATCTCGCTTCCTAGGTCATAGGACATTGTTTTCTCAGATTATAGCTCAGTTACATGTTTTGTTGGGTAACAGAACATCTTTTCTAAAGTCAACAACTGTGCTACTTAACTACTTCTGTTTCCATCTTCCTTTGACATGTGGAGTACTGTTGAATACCGTTAATCCCCCTTCCATACCCTGCTTTGGAGGAATTCTTTTGGGGAGCTGAGGTTGAAAATCTTATTAAAAAACCTCAAAACAACAAAACACACAACCCAAAACCAAACTAAACAAACCTTAGAATCTTTAAAATTGTGTAGTGCTGTTGAGCTTCTCCCAGCAGCTCCTTCACTTGTCCCCACAGAGCAAGGGGAGGTCCCAGAATCCCACAGCAGGACACTGATGCCAGCAGTTAAAGGCAGGTGCTGTCCCCTCCCTGTCCCAGCCTGAAGGTACCTCATCCTCAGCAGCCCTGACCACAGCGATGGTCACCAGGGGCTGCTGGGCAGTTGTACTCCAGTAGAGTTTTTGTCAGTGGTGTTTACAAAGCATAACGCTGAAAGTTCCTACAGTAATTTATTTATTGCCATTTCTAGGGCAAAGATGATGCTGCTTTGCTGTCACTTTGCTTTCTCTTCGCTACAACATGATAGAAAACACATTGATCCTCTTCTTGTGTTCCCTGGGGATGTGAGGAAGCAGAGGAGTAAATGTTTCTTTGTTTTAACACTGGTAGTAGCTACTGGATGAGCTGCCTTCTGTCTACATGCCCATTCCAACCCCTTCCCAACACACCTTTCCTGAACTGCTGGGTAGATCTCAGCTCTGGCTTTGATAACTTTTTGGCTGGTACTGTCAATGCATGTTAGAAATACTTTTTAATTAAATAAAACAATGCTTTGGGGGGGGAGAGACAAACTGAGAAGACTGCTCCAGATGTTTACAGCTGAGTTCATTTTAGATCTACGGGAAAGCTGAGCTTTGAAGTGTCCATCTGTTCATACAAATATGACTGGGGGGTGTTCAGGTTTTCCTGCAACTGTTAACACGTGGGCCAGGGGGACAGTCAGTAGGTTACACCACTGCCACAAGTAAGCACAGCCAGAACGTGCCATTCCACAAACCACTAATGCTGTTGAGGAAGAGGGGAAAGCAAACATACTTACATTTTCAGCTGTCTTGTCCTTCTGGCTGTTGCAGTCTGTGCTGCTGAGGCTGCACATCCTCGTAAGATGCTGCATGTCAGTGTTTATTTGAGTTTGGGCAAGCTCCTCCCATGCTTCAGCCCTACTGGAGGGGGCTGCTGTTACGAAAACCAGAAGGCTGGAGCCTTGTGCTACCCTGGGTCTCATTGGAGAGCCCCCACGCAGATGCCAGAAGCCCCACCTCCTGCCCACGAGGCAACACTGGGCCAGTGTGTGAGCTGGCTCTGTAAACACTTCTGCACCCTTGTGTAACTTCCCCCGGTTTCCATGGCTGTGTGCGTGCTGGTGTCAGGGTCAGCAGCAGGTTTAGTGCTGTGGAAGAAAGAATTTTGCATAAATAACGTCCCCCTAGACTTGGATTACGGGAGAGTGGGGGCACAGAGTGCCAGCTTTTCCTTTTTCACCCCAGGGGTGAAGGGTAGGTAGGAATCTGGCTGCACACTCCGCTGAGACCATCCTCACGAGATTTTTGCTGGCATGGTATGAAAGGCAGCCAGTGTTCTCTGCTGGCTGGCTGCTCTGAGTGGTATTTGAGGCTAATCAGTCCCCTTAGCCCTTGGATATCTGCACAAAGGGGTTATACAAAGCTATTGTGAAATCCTGCCCTGTTTGTAATAGGCACAGCAGGGCCAACACTCTTCATTTAACCAGCTGCAGCTCCAGACAGAGTTGGGTACCAGCACAATAGGGCAGATTAAACTCCACAGTTTGTGTTCTGAGGACACCCCCCAGTTTGTCATGGTTTGTGCAAATTCCTTGCAGCCAAATTCAGATAAGCTCTTGGGGACGTGTGACATCAATAGTGGGGATGACTTTTAGCAGGAAACACACTTGGCTTGCAGGGAACTTCATTGGGATGCTGTGTGGTACACTCCTATTCCCCCTGAAAGGGGGAATAAAACCCAAACCATGCCAAACAGCAATTGTGAACTTATCTCTAAAGCCACAAAGCTCTCCAGAGCCACAGAACAGGGTGGTGTACAGGGAGATTTACTGCTGGAGTGTATTAGAACATGCTGAGGCCTGAAATGCAGAACCAGTTCTCTGCATGCTTTGTACTTTAATTTTATGGAGTAAAATGTTTCTCACTTTCACCTGTGCTCTGCTTGGGTCAAACAGAAACAGCAGCAGGGCCTTTGGAGCAGCAGAATCTGCTACTCCTTGGTCTTTGCTCAGGAGCTACGGGCTTGTGTAAGGTGAGCTGACACCTTCCTCTGTCACCGCAACACTCCTTCAAGCGTGTCCTGGTAATTATTTTCATAGAACGTGGAATCCTGGAATGGTTTGGGTTGGAAGGGACCTTAAAGATCCTCTCTGCCATGGGCAGGGACACCTTCCACTTGACCAGGTTGCTCCGAGCCCCATCCAACCTGGCTTTGGACCCTTCCAGGGATGGAAGTGTTCTTGAACAATACCCAGCCACAACAGTTTGGTAAATCACCACCAGTGTACCACAGTGGTGAGCACTGAGGAGAATTACCTTGAAAGGGCAGCAATAACTCTGTAGATAAACACAAGCCCACAGTGGATTCTCGTTTCTGAGGCAGTGAGGCCCAGAACAAACCCCCAGTCAGTCTGTGTGTGTCCAGCTGATGTCCCTGACAAAGAGCTGACTGTTCCTGGTGGAGCAGCCCTGGGCTGGAGAACAATCTGCAGTGTTTTCCCCAGGGGTTGTTTTCCAACAGGCTTTGTTTTTCACATATACATTGAGAGAACATGTCAACAGCTGGATGAGACAGCAGGGCAGGCATGAGGACATGTATTCTGTACACAACTATATACATTCCAAAACTAATTAGTGGAGGGAGTGGGATTATGGTGGAAGCTGACACAATCTCACTGGTACCTCCAAACAGGGGAAAATTTGAGTATGCAGCAGTCATTAAGTCTCAAGGGCTCTGTGACAACTCTCTGTAATGCCATGAATATATGTTTGGGACTTGGCTGGTATTTTCTAGAACAGCTGAGAAAGCAATGCTTTTCTGTACTGCTGCCTTAAGGAGTAGGGATGAGAGCACAAGCACAGAAAAGCACAGAGTTTGCACCTTAATTTTACTGTTTTCATCAGGCACTTCTGTGCAGGAACTGGTAATGAACTGGTACTTCAGAAGCAGCTTTGATGGGAAAAGGAGAAGGGTGAGCTTGTGATATGATCACTTGTGATTTCCACTTTTTCTCTCAGTAACAAGCCCAGACAAGACCTTAAGCAACATTCTCCAGAGCAAAACTGCTTCCATCTGCTCTGTGGCAGCATTACAATACTGCTGTCACATCTGTGCAGTTGTGTGGCAAGTTACCTTTATCCTTAGAGGCAAGCACAGACTGCTTGCACAAAAAACAGGAATCTTTTCCACTGACCTAATTGTGTCAGGATTGGAGAAACCCAGGGGACAAAAATGTTTTGTTACAGTGTGATTAATGATAACTTTGAGTCTTGTTCTTGTAGCTGCCAGGTCTGTGGTGGGATACAAAGAGCTGGGGTGTGAGGGACAGAGAGGGAGCGTTGTCCCTTGTCTGGCCACTCACGTGTTCTAACGAGTGGTCTCATCCCAAAGCTCCAGGCAGTTTTGCATTGCTGCCTAAGCCTGTCAGGAAATAGTTGTCATTTAAAGTTTCATTTAAAGGAATTGAGACTCTTCACTTATAAATGGCCTTTGCTTTTGCAGACTCATGCTCATCAGATGATGCAGAAGCCCTCACTTCCCAACAAAGAAGTTGAGCATGTGATGTTACTGTAGTTACTGTCCAGGGCAGCAAAAATGTCCTTATATGTTGTTAGATGAACTGTGGTTTGCTGCAAATTCGTCTCCCTAAAGAAACCTCTTATGTCCTTGCTCTAAAGAGAGAGAAAGCCTCCATTTTACATCTTATTTTCATTTCCAGTATGGAAAATGAAGAAGCATAAGTGTACCATCTTCTAAGGAAGCAGTCGAATGTACTACAGTACTATTCCAAGGAACGTCCTTATTATCCCTTGCAAAATGTGGGAAGGAGATCTCTGCCATAACTCCAGTGAGGGAGTATTTACACCTTATGCTCTGACCTACACGTTTTATATCAGCACACTTATTTGTTACGGTTGGATTTGCTCTCAGCCAAAACCCATTTGCTTTCTGGAAACCTGCATGTGGATTTTGTCCATGTTTTCCCCCGATTCCAGCTAGTTTGTTACAAATGACACATGAAACTACTGCCTCTCCCTGCTACCTTGAACAGCTGACTCACTGACAGTGTTACCTAACTCTTGCTGAGTGAGTGATTTCTTGCTCACTTCATCAGGGATGGCCTGGAACTGGCTGCTGTTGACCAAATGAAAACCTTCCTACACCCAACACCACTCCAGAGCACTCTTCACTTGGTATTTTCCAAGATTCCTCTGCTGGAGATCACATTTTGGAATCATTCTAGGTTTGGGGAGTTAATCTTAAATAAATCCTTCCTTCCAGCTGCCATGCAAAACATTCCAAAACCTTCCTGTCTTCTGTGCATGGAGCCCAGAGAGAAACTTCCTCAGCTTTATATACTGCCTTATTCACTGGCTTCTTTCCAAAATAAGGGATATTTTTAACATGGATCTGTTTAGGGATCTAGCACTGAACCCTACATGCAATTAGCTCAGTAAACTTTAGCCAGCATTAATACTTATCTAAATCCACAGAAACTTCCAGTCCTCTCTGAGTGCTGGAAGGAGAGGAATTCACCTTCTAGAAATTCATCCACATTCTGCTATTGGCAGGTTCTTAGAAACAAGACCGTGAAACCAAGTGAATTTGTATATTCAAGACAGGAATATCTCATCCAGGGAAAGAGGTAACAGTGCTTGCTGGGAAAAAGCCTTGACACAAATCTATTGCACTGCTATTTGGGCTTTTTTTAATTGACGTTTAACAGTGACTTAAGCCTGAGGTGAAGAGAACACACCTTCTTTGCAAACAAAGGAGTCCAGCCCTATAGAGTCCCAAGGACCTGAGAACATGTCCAGAGGTGATGGGACCAGGCCTGGAGAGTCAGGATTCGTATATTAAAGAAAATACTCTCCTAAAATAATATTTTCCACTTCTCCCAAAAAGACATGAAAAGGTAACTGAAGCTGAGGGTTTGTCTCCTGAGCTGCTTCCTGAGCTTAGTTGCTTGAATATGGATCATGTCAGAACTTCTCCCATCTTCTGACAGTGGGGGTGTTGGTAGTGGGTGTGGGGTTTGGTGGGCACTTTCTTTATTTAGATGATGTGAGTGAGGCCTCCAGAGATGGATTCTGGTCTGAATTCTGGACCAGAACCTAGTTTCTCATCCTCTCCTTTCCCAGGGTGAGCCAGTGCTGGTTTTGCAGCAGGTGGCACTGTTGGTTGTGTCCAGAGGTGAGTTTTACTTTAATATATATGTCCCTCAAGCTCTCTTGGTTGTCAGTGGTCGCTTCAGCTCAGTAATGGATCCAGTGCACCCTGATAGTTTGTTCCGTTTCCAAAGCCATAAACTTGATTATACTGTTGACTGTTAATGGGAAGGTTAAACATTTAAACATCTTAACATGTAAAAAATTATCTTTGTGTGTTAAACATCTTTTATGCAGCAAACACACCAGCCTGAAACAGAGAATTACAGAATGGTTTGGGTTGGAAGGGTCAACCCCCTGCCACGGGCAGGGAATGTCTCTGTAAGACACTTAAGAAAATGCAAAGTTGGGGGAAAAAACACTTAAACTGGCAAGTTTCCGGGCAGAATCAATAGCAAACCTAACAGTTTAAAACTCAAACGTCTGAGAGGCCAGTATTTCTTTTGATTTTTGCACCTTTTGATTTAGAGCAGAGAAAATGAGGTTGATGTATAATGACATCACACCATCTTCCCAGATGATGTGCTTCTGAATACCAGCCAGCCAAGATGGTATTTAACAGAATTTCATCACTTTCACAGGTATTGTCTTTCTCAATTTTCATTTAGGCTTGGATACTTCTTATTTGTTCTGAAAACAGACTTGAATCTGTCTTTGGAAGAAAATTACATCTGGATACATTTATTTATTGCAGAAAGAAAGAAGCAAAACTATAGTTTGATTATGCTGAACCAGAAGTGCACTCATGGTAGCTTCAGAAATGACAAAACACAGGTGTCAAAACTCTGTATAGGTAGAGACTAG